AAATGATGCAAAAGACCTGCGGAAGCGAGTGTATGAGCAAAACACGAATAAAAGAATGGTATAAACAGTTCAAGGATGGTCGCACTTCTGTCGATAGTGATTCTCGTTTCGACCGACCTTCGACGACAAAAACCGCAGATAATATTGAGCGAGTGCAACTTGCAATCGAACAAGATCGTCGTATGACTGTGCGAGAACTAGAAGAAGACCTTGGGATACCAAAAACTATTATTTCAGAAATTTTAACCGAAAATTTAGGAATGAAACGCGTGTGTGCGAAATTCATTCCAAAATTGCTCACAGCAGAGCAGAAGAACATTCGCTTAGAAATCGCTCTGAACAATCTGTGTGATGTTCGTATTACTTATAAATAATAATAATTCGAACTCTCGTATCTAGCTAATAAGTAAGAATTTGTTTCTAATAATTTTAATCTAATTGTCGATAAATAAATAAATCAAATGTACTCTAATAATAATAAACAAATCAAATATATATAAATAAATATAATGTTTCAGGAAAAGTCAGACGATACCCTAGTTTCTTATGGTGCGAATTGTCCCATAAGCAGAGCTAAAGTCTGTCTTGGATAAGATATAATTCGGCCCAAGTTTCTTATAGCGCGAGATGTTCTATAAGTCGAGCTCGAATTATAAGGAAGGAATAGTCTTGCTCAGTTAATCACAATGAGAGAAAGAACTTAGGTATCAACCAAGTTTATTCAGTTTCATGCGCTCACCTTGCAAGGCTAGAAGTGAATGCTAGCCTGTGCAAAGGTGGGCGTATTTATACACAGATTTTCCCGCTTATTTTTGCAGGAGAGATGTCATCGAACATTCGAGAGACATTCGCGAATTTTGAGAAATGAGTTTTCTTAATTTACAAGGAAATAACCATTAATAGTAAGCTTTTAACACATGTAAACTTTACAGAATTTGTTATTTGTTGATTTTATATAATATACAATTGTCGCAAATAGTGTCGTCAAAAGTTATTAACTAATAAAGTTAATTAAAGTGATATTGCAATATTTACAATAGAAAATTATTAAATTTTTATATAATTTTATAGTTACTTTATTTCGAAAGTATTTTCTAAAAAGAAATATTTAAATTAGTTAATAACATTTGAATTATAACTAATTTTTCATATTTGTAACGGTTTTTTCTAATCTTATAACGCAATTATTAGATTAATTATCTAAGATTCCTAAATCATAAACTTATTATTATTAAGTATAAAATTAATGCTTTTGTTTTATATACAACTTATTGTTTAAATAAATTATTAATTGTTTATTTATTAATAACAGTTATTATTCAGATGTTATTAATGATACCAATTCTTACTCATGTTCTATATTTATTCACTTTGCCTATGGATTATTTACATTTTTCTAATAATTCATATTTTTAGCGTAATAAATAAATCAAGTTTGCATATTGAAATTCATTATTATTCAATAATTAAATACAATTTGTGTTATTATATTCTGAATCTATGTACTAAAATCTATATAATAAATGCTTTGTTATATTAAAATTATCTCTAATTAACATATTTTTCTTAATATCAAAAATCATTATATCTATATCTATTACTTTGTGACGTCACGCTATTTATTTTGATTATGAAATGAATACAATCGAGTAAACAGTGAGGTAGCGCCGCTTAATGTATTGATTTGAATAAACAGATAGATGCGTTAGACTGGTTGCAGTGATTCAGTAATATAATAAACTAGCTCATAGATAGGACCGTTACATCTGGAAATGGGCAATAATGATGATAATGTGCTTAGAAAAGTTATTACAGGTAATGAATCATGGGTTTATTATTATGATCCTGAAACAAAACAACAATCTTTACAGTGGAAGCATTCTGAATCGCCGAGACCAGAAAAAGCACGTCAAAGTCGGAGCAATGTTAAGTCAATGTTGATTATTTTTTTTGATTGTGAAGGTGTTGTACATCACGAATATGCACCAACAGGTCAGACAATCAATAAAGAATACTACGTTCAAATTTTGAAACGTTTGCGTGATGCAGTAAGAAGAAAACGGCAGCACTTTTGGGAAAGTGGTGACTGGCTTTTCCATCACGATAATGCGCCAGCGCATTCATTTAATCTTGTACAGCAGTTTTTGAGCAAACACAATATCGCATTGCTTCGACAACCTCCATACAGTCTCGACATAGCCCCTTGTGACTTTCGACTGTTTCCAAAACTAAAAAAACCACTCAAAGGACACCGATTCGATGACAAAACAACGGTTGAAAACAATGCGACGAGTGTACTTAAGGCTATCCCTAAAAGTGAGTTCCAGGACTGTTTTGAAAAGTGGAAACATCGATGGAACCGTGTTATTCAGTCAAGTGGGGATTACTTTGGAGGATGCCCCCTATCAGATGATAAAGAATAACGCTAGCAGGAAAATATAAAGGTAAGCCCGATACTTTCCGGATAGACCTCGTAGTAAAAAAATGTGAAAAAAGCGAATAGGGTGGGAAAGAATGGGAAAAAATAATAATAGGATGCAAAGGAAAAATAGCTTGGATGATGAAGCTAAAATGGAATAGAAGAAGAAACGAAGAGAAGAAAAAAAAGAAAAACAAGAAGACGAAATTTCAAGACCCTAAGGACAGACGGAAACAGAAGACAGAGACGCAAGATTCGCAGACATCTACATACGCACACTTATACACAAAACACGCACACACAAGCAAACATACACATACACATGCACACACACAAAACACAAATACTAGCAACTATACAAGTGAGAGGAAGCAGGTATTGGATGCAGGAGCAAAAATGGAAAAGAAGAAGAATCGAAGAAGAGGAAGAAAAAAGAAAACAAGAAGACAAATTATAAGATACTAAAGAAAATAAAGGAGGTTGAGAAAAGGAAAGGCAGAGGGAGCAATAGGACATGAAAAAAAAAGGTGTCAAAGCCCTAATAAGGAGAAAGACAGATGAAATGATTAGCAAGAAAGAGAGCAAAAGCAAAGTAAAGGCAGAGGTGAAAACGCAAAAGAGAGCAACAAAGGAAGTAGCCGAAAAGAAAAGAAGTAAGAAAGAGAAAAACAGAAGAGCCGAAAAGGCAGATCTCGCAGAGAGAGGAAGAGAAGATTAATCAACAGAACAATGGGAAGAAAAGCTGAACAGACAGGAGCAGAAGAGAGGGACGTAAGAGTTGCAGACGCACCTACATACGTACACATATACACAAAACACACACACACACACACACACACACACACACATTTATTTTCCTACAACTGCAAAAATGAGGCTCAAAAAAGCTTTTTTTCAGAATTTTCACCCCATATTCTGAAAGCTCATTAAAAAATCTATTAGAAATCATGGTTTGCATGATCATTTTTGCTCGATTTGATTCTTCTATACAGCGTTGAAAGTGGGCATGAGCAAACGTGCACATTTGACGTTAATGGGTTAAATCGTACTATTTTGTACAATGCACGCTTATACCCTAATTTGATTATATGTATTATCCTTAGTTATTTGTCATAAAACTTACCACGTAATAAAGTTCCCAAACCTTTTATAAAACCTTTATACACAAGCCATACGCTGATCATACTTAACTAATATTATTTTTTAATATTTTTTAACGCTATATTTTATAGTAGATTGTAGTCTTAATTTATTAAGAGTAATCCTTTAAATTATATATAAGAGGATATCTTAAATTATGTTTAATGCAAAAAAATTAATCTAATGATAATATTTATGTTACTATTATTAAGCTCGAGATGTTATACGTAAACGTTACGAATCAAAAAAATGTTTCAGTAATTACCTTTTTCTTATTAACGTAAATAATATAAACTTTAAAAAAATATTATACTTTTAGTTAATTTTTAACACTTAAGAATGAAAAATTACGTTTCGTTTACGTTATAAACGCAGATGAATTAAAGATCAAATTTTATTTTAAAATATACTTTAACGAAAGTTTTCATCAGGTTGAATAAAATTAACTCAAGGTAAGTATTTTAATCATACTAAACATTTAAAATCTTTGCTATTTATATTATTTAATGGTTAAACATTGTAAGATTATCTTTATCAAATGCTAATTTTTATTATTGTAAATTAATTAATTTTTACGGGTTTATAAAATATTTTACCCACAAATAATTATTTTTTTTAACAAATAGACATTATAAAACTAAAATAATAAAACCAAACAGTAAGTAAAATACAGTTAGACATACTTTATTTATTAATTTTATGTATCAATTATATTTAAATTTTAAATATAATTAATTATTTGTAACGTTGCAAATATTATAATGTTACTACGCTATTTTTAAAAAATTTAATTCATATTAGTTCAGAGTAGTAAAAAAATATTCTTATCTAGTATTATTATATAAAACTAATTTGAACTATTAATAAACGAGTTATCGAGTAGTTTTGTACAGTAAATATAAAATGTTACATAATAAATTCAATTCATGCTCTAAATTATTTTGTCCAGATAAAGCTCTGGTTTGATAATATAGTGGCATGCAAAGAATAAATAAACAAATGGGTGATTCCAAAATAAAATTTTATGAGACATTTAACAGTAGGCTCTAACTTGCTGTAAAAATTGTGTGGCGGTCTTGTGATTCGCTCATCCACATCGAGATGGCATCGGCCAGCCACGAGCGGCAAGAAATACGCTCCCTAAATATATAAGTCCGCATAGCGACTTGTGCACTTCGAGCGTATGAGGCAGATGTTACCGGCCGTCGAGCCTCACTGACGAGTCCAGTCGGTAACATCAGGACGAAACGCTTCCTTCTTTACCGACCGCCCGAGTGTGAGCCTGGCTAGCTCACACTGCGACCAAACCTTTTCTCGAGACTCCTCGTATCAAATTACGCATGCGCGAACGACGCGCATGTAGCCAAAGTGGTGACCCCGACGTGATCTCGACGCCTGGACTCGATTAAGAGAGCAACAGCGGCACTGCCTCGCGTCGACTATGCTCGGCCGAAGCCCGGTGCGGGCAGTGAGTGAAGAAGAGCGGCCGCACCGACCGCCGCCTCAGCACGAGGAAAATCTGACCACCACGCCAACGGACGCGCTCGAGCTCGGCGTTAATGCGCTTCGCCATGTGGTGGTCCGCACGCCGCCCTTCTGGAAGGACAACCCGGCGGCGTGGTTCATGCAGCTCGAATCGCTATTCGCCTGCCAGCAGATCAACACCGATCTGCAGCGATACCACGCCACGGTCGCGGGATTGGACGGCGAGACGGTGGCAGACCTGATGGATGTGCTGCGGCTTTCGCCGGCGGCTGGCAAGTACGAGAATTTGAAGTGGCAAGTTCTGGCTCGACACGGCGATACCACGCAGCAGCGCCTGAACAAGCTGCTCTCCGGCCTCACCATCGGAGATCGCACTTCCGCGCAGCTGCATCGACACATGCGGGCTCTGGCGGGGGATAGCATCACGGATGATGCCCTCCGGATCCGATGGCTGGACCTTTTGCCCTCCGCGACCTCGAGGATGCTAAGGCTCCTACGGAAAGCGGATCTGGACGAGCTTGCGCAGACGGCGGACGAGCTGGTCGACACCGTGCCCGACATCTGCGCGGTGGGCGCTACGCGCGCGGCGACGAGCACCGTGGCCGCTCCGACGGTCGCATCTGACTCCGCTGCGCTGGAGTCGATCAGGGCCGAGCTGACAGCCCAGCGCGGCATCCTCGAGGACATTCGCAACGCGATGAGGAGTGCCCGGCCGCGCGACCGCAGTCGGTCCCGTCCCCGGAATCAGTCCTCCGGCTGCGGTGACCTCTGCTTCTACCACGCCCGGTTTGGCGAGAGCGCCGAGAATTGCCGCCCGCCGTGCGGTTACGCCGCAAACACTCAGCTGGGAAACCGCTAAGGCCGCCGCCCGTCATGGCGGTCGCCGGTAAATTAGAGCACGCCGAGACCCGTCTGCATGTGATCGATCGGGCAACCCGGAGGCCGATGCTCGTCGACTCCGGGACCGTGGTCTCGCTCCTGCCTCGCTCCGGCGCTCCCGGACGGCACGAGCGGCAGCCGCTGACTCTCATAGCGGCCAACGGCTCGCCCCTGCGGACTTACGGGCGACGCATGGTGCGCCTCGACCTGGGCTTGCCCCGAGCGTACTCTTGGCCCTTTATCATCGACGATGTGCCTGAGACCATACTAGGGGCCAACTTTTTGGCGCACTCGGGGCTGGTGGTCGATCTGCAACACCGACGGTTGATCGATCGGACCAACTGCTGCTCCACGACGGCGCGGGCGCGCCGCGCCGCGATCCACGGGATCGCGCTCATTGCCGACTCCACAGACAGCACCGATCGGCGCCGCTTCGACCAGCTGCTCGCCGATTTTGCGGACCTGTCCGAGCCCAGTGGCCGAGGCGCCACCTTGCACGGCGCGGAAGTGGCCCATCACATTCACGTGACGGGACCACCTGTGCACGAGCGCCCGCGCCGTCTCGCCGGCGATCGACTCACCGCAGCCAGAGCAGCGTTTGACCGCCTCCTTCAGTTGGGTGTCATGCGCCCATCGTCCAGCCAGTGGGCCAGCCCGCTGCATGTCGTGCCCAGACCTAGCGGAGGCTGCCGGGTGACTGGCGACTACCGGCGGCTCAATGCCGTCACGTTACCAGACCGCTACCCGCTCCCGGTCATCGAGGACCTGCTGGAGGACACGCGCGGCTGCTCGATTTTTTCGGTCGTCGACCTACAGGAGGCCTACTACCAGGTGCCCATGGCATCGGAGGATGTGGCGAAAACAGCTGTGGTCACGCCCTTCGGGCTCTTCGAGTTCATGCAGATGCCGTTGGGACTACGTAACGCATCCCAAACGTTCCAGCGCTATCTGGATAGCCTCTTGCGTGACCTGCCGTTCGTCTGCAATTACCTCGACGACATACTGGTTAAGTCCTCTTCGCCGGAGCAGCACCTGCTGCATCTGCGCGCCCTTCTGGAACGCCTTCGGGAGGCTGGTCTCGCGATCAAGCTCCCTAAATGCCAAATCGCTCAGCGGCGCGTCACCGTCCTCGGCTACGACGTCTCGGAGGAGGGTTTCCGGCCTCCCGCTCGGAGGATTGCGGCGATTATGGACTTCCCGCGGCCCAATACGGTGCGCGGCCTGCAGCGCTTCCTCGGCATGGTGAACTTCTACCGGCGCTGTTTGCCCCATGCCGCGGAGGTACAAGCGCCGCTTAACAAGATGCTAAAGGGCAGGACGCGGAGGAATTGTCAGCCGCTCCCATGGTCGGCGCGGTCCGACGCGGCGTTTCGGGCGGTTCGCGAGAGTCTGGCCGAAGCAGTGGGAGCCTCCTTTGTTGACCCGACTGCGCCGTTGGCCTGGCCACCGACGCATTCGACTTGGCCTTGGGTGCCGCCCTGCAGCAGCAGATCGACGGTGTCTGGCGGCCCGTAGGTTTCAACTCACGGAAACTCTCGCCGACAGGACAGCGCTACAGCACCTACGATCGGGAGCTCCTCGCGGTCTACGAGGCCATCCGCCATTTCCGTCGCATCTTGGAGGGGCGCGCGTTCACGGTGTTGACCGACCATCGACCGCTGGTCTACGCGGCTCAACCAGCCGTCGGACAAGGCCTCACCAAGGCAGCAACGGCACCTGGATTTCATCCTTCAGCACAACGTGGAGTTCCGGCATATCAAGGGCGCCGATAACATTGTCGCTGACGCTCTCTCCAGGACCGACAATTCCGCGGTCGCTGGAACACCGCCGGTCCATGTAGCGGCACTGCCTTGCGCCACTGTGAGCATGCCGGCTCCGCTGGGGCCGGCGACGATCAGCGAGGCTCAGTCGGCCAACGGGGAGCTTCCGAAGCTTCTGGAGGTCGGCGCCATGGATCTCCACCACTACAACCTGGACGGACATCAAGTGGCCTGCGGCATCGCCAACCGAGTCGTGCGGCCCTATCTGCCGCAACCACTGCGACAGGCGGCGTTCGACGTAGCTCATGGCCCGGCATATCCCAGCATACGCGCGACCATCCGCGCCGTCACGGAGCGATACGTCTGGCCAGGCGTACGCAAGGACGTTGGACGCTGGGCGCGAGGCTGTGAGGCGTGTCAGCGAGCTAAGGTTCACCGCTACAACCGTGCCGCGTTGGCACGTTTCCAGGAGCCGGACAGCCGGTTCGAGCACCTGCATGTCGACATAGTGATAATGCCGCAGGTCGGAGTCTGACGCTACTGCCTGACCATATTGGACCGCTTCACCAGGTGGCCGGTGACGGTACCTTTGGCCGACATAAGGGCCTCCACGGTGGCGAGGGCGCTCTTCGACCACTGGATCGCTGACCGGGGCTGTCCGCTCACCATCACGTTCGACCAGGGCACTCAATTCGAGTCGGCCCTCTTCGCGGCACTGGCGCGACTTATCGGGGCGCAGAGGGTGCGAACCACGCCGTACCATCCCCAGGCGAACGGCATGGCCGAGCGTTTCCACAGGACACTAAAAGCGGCACTGATGTGCCACGCGCGGACGCCCTGGCCTGAGAGCTTACCGCTGGCGCTCCTCGGCCTGCGGAACTGCTTCAAGGAGGATCTGTAGGCCTCCCCGGCTGAAATGGTCTACGGCACATCTCTGCGCCTACCCGGGGAGTTCTTCGTTGCCTCTAGTCTCCCTGCAGATCCCGCCTCGTTCGTGTCCAAGCTCCGAGGCCTCATGGGAGCCATCAGACCGATACCAGCAGCGGACCACTCAGCGCGTCGGCCTTTCTACTTAAAGGATCTGGCCACCTGCACGCATGTCTTTCGGAGGGTGGCAACCGTCCGGAAACCGCTCAAGCAGCCGTACTCTGGCCCTCACGAAGTCGTCAGGCGAGTCAGCGAGAAGATGTACGTCATTCGGGTTGACGGCCACGACAAAACGGTCACGACGGACGCCTTGAAACCGGCTTATCTCGCCTCGTCTGACCGCGACGTCCTGCGACCACCTGGAGTGGCGGCTCACGAGCCACCTGCGACCGCAACGCCGTCTGCATCGACGTCCCTGCCTTCGCCACCGGAGCCGGACGAGGGCGAGCTTTCGCCTTCGGCGGTTCCATCGCCATCATCCGTTCCAGCCGCGCGTCCACCGCTTGCTGACCGAGCGACGGGCGCGGAGCGCACAGGCCCTGCGATGCGGAGGAGGAGGCACGTGCCCAGCATCCTGCGACGAGCTGTATCGAGCCATTCACCCCCTGCGAACGCCTCTGGGGGGGGAGTGGCTGTGGCGGTTGGTGTGCAACCAGTGCCGCCATCACCTGGCCACGACCGGAGGCAACATCAACGCCTGCGCTATGGGTTACAGGCTTAGGGAGCCAGATTTAGGGGGGAGAACAGGATTGGCGCGAAGAGCGAGGCGGCTCAAGTCCTGTTGATGCTGCTAATCCCGCTAAGCCGATCAGCACCCCTAAGCGGCCTAAGCGGCCTAAGCCTTTTCTCGCCGACCAGAGCAACGAGAGGCGGTGGCGTTCAACCGTCGCGCTGCTAATATATAAGGGCGACATGCCCTGCAGCGAACAAGTAGTAGGAGTGGTACCGTCGGGCTGGCCGTTCGTGCTGTTTTCTGGCCAACGCTTTGTTCAGCAAGACCCTTGCTTGCGCCAGGTGCGGCGTGCACTTCATCTGCGACACCTTTGTCACTGGCCGTTCGAGCCAGCTGTTTGTACTCTTCGGCGAGGAATAAAGCACTGTCTACGTCATAATTCTCTCTCACTCTCTCATCGTCCCCGGCGCCTGCGAGTGCGGCCACACTCTATAAAGCTTAGCCAAAAGTGGTGACCCCGACGTAATCTGAACAACGCAACCTTCTGATCTAGTAGAGCTTGCTAGCCCACCGGGCCCCGCAGGAACACCTCCGACCGTCATAGGCGTATCGCTCACCGCCACCTATCGTAGGAGCTATGACCGAGCAGGATGTCCAACGGAGAAGCCTACGCAACGCGGCTCGCACATCCTCCCTCGCACGGTTGTTCCTTCTCTACTATCTCTCGTCCTCATCTGCCTTTGATCTCTCTCTTTCTTGCCGCTCCTCTTCTCTTATCGTGACTCGAGCCCCCGCCTCGTCACTGAGGGGGGAGTACTGTGGTGGTCTTGTGATTCGCTCATCCACATCGAGATGGCATCGGCCAGCCACGAGCGGCAAGAAATACGCTCCCTAAATATATAAGTCCGCATAGCGACTTGTGCACTTCGAGCGTATGAGGCAGATGTTACCGGCCGTCGAGCCTCACTGACGAGTCCAGTCGGTAACATCGGGACGAAACGCTTTCTTCTTTACCGACCGCCCGAGTGTGAGCCTGGCTAGCTCACACTGCGACCAAACCATTTCTCGAGACTCCTCGTATCAAATTACGCATGCGCGAACGACGCGCATGTAGTCAAAATTGGTTTCAATAATAGAAACAAGAATCTGCTCTATTTTAACTTATATGTACATTTAAAAAATAATCAAAATTTTGATAATAAATTGTTTCAAAATTATAATGTCGCAGTAAATTTAAAAAAATTTTAGAATTTTCTAACCGCAGATCTAACAAATAAAATTATAATTTTTTTGAAATAAAATCAGATCTGAGCTAGCGCTGAAGTATTTATTGTATGTTTTAATATTTCAATTAATATACTTCTGCTTCTTACTTTTGCAGTACATTGGAAGCAAACAAACCAGTGCAGATTATTTTAGTAATTTAAGGCTAAAAAGGATCTGACTACTATGTGACCACCCTAGTCACAAACTTTTTTATCAATAAATACAAATTATTTTTTTACTATTTAAAATAAAAATAACACTAAAATCAGTTAAAACGATTTTTTTATGTAGATAGGCAAACCTATCAACACAAACATCTATATTTTTATTTTCATAAATAAATATGTTCTATTT